GTAGTAAAGCGTTGTTATTGCTTTAACAAGTATTGTAAAGTGTTTTTACTGTATTAGCAAGTATTGTAAATTGTTTGTTGTACAATAAAGTTAATTGTACTACAATTCGGTCATCGTTAGCATTTATTTAACAATCCAGCGATACGAGCCCGAGTATATTTGGGTAATCCCTCAAGGTTTCGAGGATAATCGTAACAATATAACATGTGATCGATAAAGCAGTCGTTGTATTTAACCAGAGCTTCTACCTCCGATTAGTGCTAATAAGTCATTAAGGGCCGGTTGCTCAAAGCCTGGTTGACACTAATCCCCGGTTAAACATCGTTATCGACGTTACCGACACCATGTTATTTGCATGGAGCCGAAAACGTCGATAACGATGTTAATCGGTGATTAGTGTCAATTAGGCTTTGAGCAACCGGCCCTAAACATCCGGCCCTTAGGGCCGGTTACTCAATGTCTGGTTAACACTAATCTCCGGTTAAACATAGTTATCGACGTTACCGACGCCCTGTTGTATGCATGGAGTCGAAGACGTCGATAAAGATGTTTAACCGCAGATCAGTGTTAACCAGACATTGAGTAACCGGCCTTTAGAATTTTAGGGCTGGTTGTTCAATGTCTGGTTATCACTACTTGCCGGTTAAACATCATTACCGACGTTTTCGACATCATGAATATAGCATGCGGTCGAATAAGGGCCGGTTGTTCAATGTCTGGTTATCACTACCACTACACTATCGACGATTTCGACATCATGCATGTAACATGTGATCGATAAAGCAGTAGTTGTGCTTAACCGGAGCTTCTACCTCCGATTTGTGCTAATTAGACATTGAACAACCGGCCCTAAGGAGTTGTTGTATTCCCACGACAGCCGGTTCTACGTACCGGAATGACTCGGGTTTCACCCGACCAAGGGCTGTTGTTTCGGCGATCTAACCCCGTTTAGGTCAGCGAAGTGTCTCAGAAGTTGTCCGTCCATAGGGCAACATTCACTACGCATTCTCCTACTCAGGGCTGGCATCGAGTCAAACCCTGGGCCAGAAATATACACCTGCTGTGTATGCCGAAGACGATTACACCACAACTCCACCTCAGTCAAGTGTAATGCCTGCGAGGGGTGGAGTCACCTCAGGGTCTGATCGGGACTACGGACACACAGACAGTGGACCACGTCGTACGTGGCCCCCTGTTGCTCAAACAGAGCAGCCACCACGGCAAACCATAGTCCGCCCGTGCAGCCCCACACACTCACACAGCAGCCACACACAGTCACCACAACACAACAACATAATAACACCACAGACCGTACCATAGCCACCACAGACCACATAGCACACACAACCGCACCACGACCCACACGCCGCCGCCAACAACTCCTGGTTCCCCCTACAATCTGCACGGTATGTCAGACCAGAATATTCCGTAATGTGACATCAGTCAAGTGCAACACCTGCCTTGGCTGGTGCCACTTTAGGGCATGTTCAGGTCTGCGTACCACGCGAGATTGGACGGGGAACTTCGAGGGCCCGTGTTGCGCTGCTCGGTCGCAGATTTCAATTGCGACGCCCCCCACCACCACCACAGGGCGGCAATCACCTCAGCAGCACACACAGCCAACGGCGGCAAGAACATACACCTCACTTACACCCCACATCACGACACGTCTCCCGAACCACATGAAGCTCCTTCAATTCAACTGTAACGGGCTACAGAGCAAGATTGAGAAGACGACCGTCTGCATGTGTCGGCATGGTATATTAATAGCTGCGGTCCAAGAGACGAAGTTGCACAGCAATTCAACTTTGTTGAATTGCGCCGGGTACAACGTGCACCGTCGAGATCGCGAGCGAGATAATGGAGGTGGCTTAGCGTTCATCACGCACCACACCGTGCAGTATCGTCTTATCGAAGCAGACATCGACCGCAGGGATACCACCCTAGAATGTCAGGGCAACGCTATCCGGTCAGGCGATGTCGAGCTCGAAATATTTAACATATACATACCCCCTGTCACCTGCTGCCCGGCAGGATATCACCCTGATATAGGTGCGCTCCTCAGAGGTGAAAACCATATGGTAGTAGGTGACTTTAATGCGCACCACGATCTTTGGCACTCAAGCCTGTCAAACGATCGTAGGGGAACAGACTTGGCTGAGCAGATAGACGATTCGACATTCTGCACAATGAACGACGACGCACCCACCAGAATTATGGGTAACTGCAGTAGCTCGCCAGACATCACAATAGTCAGCGCTGGTCTGATAAACAGCATAACGTGGCGACCTATGCTGACTCTAGCATCCGACCATCTACCCATAGTCATCTCGATTGATAAACCAACCGACTTTGCCTCCGCCAAACACCGGACCTATATCAACTTTTCTAAAGCTGATTGGAAAGGCATTCACAGGGACTCAGTCTCGAGTTATGTAGACTCTAGACCTGTGAATGCCGTTCTAGGCATACCACCCCCGGACATAGACGAGACAGAGCTTCATCTGCCTCGGGAGACACGCACTACACTCGCACAACTTCGCTCCGGCTACTGCAGCAGGTTGAACTCCTACTTGAGTAGGTTGAATGAGGATGTGCCGAATGAGTGTCCGGCATGCGGAGAGACCCCACATGACTCGAAACATCTCTTCGCATGCCCGGAAAACCCGACAACCCTAACGGCCTTGTCCCTGTGGACAAATCCCACAGAAGCTGCACGCTTCCTAGGGTTGCCGTTAGTGGAACTTGACGACAACGACTGAGATACCAACCGATCTGGGCGGGGTTGTTGTAGCCGCTACAACAACAACAACAAGTTGTTGTATTTAACCGAAGCTTCTACCCCCGATTTGTGCTAATTAGACATTGAACAACCGGTCCTTAGCATATTTTAGCATTTTGGCGATAGCGAAATTTGGAATCCGGCTGCTGGGTGCCTATGCAATGTACCTTAAGGGCCGGTTGCTCAAAGCCTGATTGACACTAATCACCGATTAACATCGTTATCGACGTTTTCGGCTCCATGCAAATAACATGGTGTCGTAACGTCGATAACGATGTTTAACCGGGGATTAGTGTCAACCAGGCTTTGAGCAACCGGCCCTAAGTGCCAGTGACAATTTTTTAAGTAAGTTATCCATTCATCGACAAAGCTAATAAAAGAAAAAACTTAAAATAAAAAATAAACTTAAAATTGCTTAATTTTGATATCTTGGTTCTGTAACCACTTGTTTTAGGGTTGCCCACTCCCAAGATAAATTTCCCGTTTGCAACAAAATCCCATGCAGTGCTGCAATCGCCATTTTGATTGGTTGATCAGGTATGCTTCGAGTGCTACATTTTGCAAACGAACGGAAAACTCTTGCATTTGCTTTTTTACAATTCGTTTGGACGCACAGCAGCTATATAGCAAATTTCGGTAGGTTTAATTGTTTATAACGAATTTAAAAAAAGTTCTTTTCTTAAATTGCAAAATACGGATGAATGTAAGTTTGTTAAAATGTGTACTAAGTAGGCGCAGATTTGTATTGGGTATGGTGGCGAATAATAGAAATCTGAAGTTTTGTAATCCTGTTTCAAAGGAAACCTAAATTTTTTTTAAATGGTAGAAAGTTAAAATCTATTTAATTCGACTATCCCTTTTTATTTCATAATTTTATGAAAGAAATTAAAAATTAGTGGAGATGGAAAAGATTTCTTTAGGACTATCCTATTTGGGATCCAATATAAGTCTCCGTATTTGGCGCAAATCAACCTTACAAATTAGCTTCGGTAGTTAGAAATTAAGGTAGAATCACGATGTAGACAAACAAAGCTTTTTTTTGATAGTGCCTATTTGTAAATTAAAACCTCATATTTTGTATAGCACTGGATATTGGGTCCTTCGGCTATATACATATTGCAGATTGGGAAAGGAAATAATTATAACTTGCAATGGTTGGCCGAGATATAACGCCAACGGAAATAGGAAAGCATTCCAAACTAATAAGAAGTGAGTGTCCCCATGATTACGTTTAGACATAAAAATACGTTGCGACATACATATGTACGAACCTTTTGCATTTTTACCTAGTGGCGCAAGATGAAATGGCCTCCATGGATGTTCTAGTATGCGGCCGTTGCCTCAACGTATATCACTTCATTGAAGATTTTGATGACCATAAACAGAAGCCATGCCACAAAGAAAATACCAATGTGCGTGAATGTAATGACACTAAACCAAAAATTTGGGCATTCTT